CACTCTTTGAGAAGATGCACACCCAGACAAAGCTGAAATTTATTTACAACATTCACAAAATATAAGAAATGTGCTATGCCCTGTTTCCAGTGGCTCTTTTAACATCTATATCAGTAACCACCAGCCTTTTCCTATTAGGATCATAGGATCACAGAATCATAGAATAGTTAGGGTTGGAAAGGACCTTAAGATCATCTAGTTCCAACCCCCCTGCCATGGGCAGGGACACCCCACACTAAACCATATCACCCAAGGCCTCGTCCAACCTGGTCTTGAACACTGCCAGGGATGGAGCATTCACAACCTCCCTGGGCAACCTAATAGTATTGAAAAGCAAAACAGAAAGATGCTTCCCCTAAAGCAGCTGGTATGGTAAAGGGCATACGCATGTAAAAGAAGCAATTTCCAGGGAAATGGTGGGGGGAGGAAAAGTGCACGTTTTATCCTGCTTCTGCAGCAAGTTCACCCTGTACTTTCCACAGCCTCAGAAGTATAATCATACCTTCTCAGGTGGCCCTTTGATTGACTAAAAGAACATGCATGCAGCAGCTATTTCCTAAAGCACATTACTTTGGACCCTAAGACTTCAGTCATACTGACTTTAACACATTTTCCTCCAGACACCATTATTGTCAAACCTAATTTTTCTAACCAGCTGAAAAAGATATGCCCCATTATGCATATTTCCACTTCTGCTTACAGAGGCTTCAAAGCGGACTTCCCAGTGTATTTTCTATTTTAGGATAAAATTTCACCTTGGAGTGGAAAGCAGTAACAAACTCCTTTGCACTGATTGTTCTGCTTTTACCTCATAGCTTGGTTTGATGAGGACCTTTGCATAAGGTTGGCACAGGATCTGCACTGACTTTCTGCATATGTCAGAAATGTCAGTCATGGTGCAAAAAAAGCCATCAGTGCAAAATGAAGAGTCAGATATTATAAATCAGCCAAAGCAAGCAAAGGCTGCATTACAGGTGCAGCTAGCAAAGTAAACCCACCTTAGCACGACATAAGCCACAAATTGTCTCATAGTACCAGTTTGTGTCAGTTCCTGTCACCGCTGACCCCTCCAGCTGTCATCAGAGGAAACTACAGTAACATATTCACGGGAGACCGAAAACTGTCATTTTTCTACTCAGATTTAGAGTTCAAACAAACAGTTTCTCTCATGGATAACATGCAAATACTAGTTTAAAATTACTCTTGAAAAATATGTTTAGAAATTGCAACTTTTTTGAAGATAAACACTTCTATTAATCATTGCTTTATTCACAAAGACTAAATGATAAAAAATATTGCTATTTTGGAACAAGTCATGCACTCAGGACTTGCCCAGAGTAACTAACCCTCAGCTGTTTCCTATATGGTGGCTTTAAACCCATCAGCTGAACTTCAACAACTCTGGGAGTAGATCAAGCAACCCTACAGAACAGCACCGTACATGCAGAACCAAAGTTTAGTATTAACTAAACTAGCAAGGGTTAAACATACACCTTTGCTTATTTTGCTACCACTTTCCCATGTTGATAAGTCCTGATTTATACTATTCAGTATCTAAAAGGTCTGTGGGTTCCTATTGAGCATGAAGCATTTGCCAAGGTCTCTGGCTGCACAAATAAAAGCTACATGCCAGAAACGTGCTTCCAGAAGCAATATGCTAAGTACCAGCTCCAAAGACACTCCATGGAGTATGCAAGAAGTGCACAATGTGAATTTCTACAACCATTACTTTCACTGTTGATCAAAGTTGGTCTGTCTCTGCAAAAAGGGAACAAAACTGTGTTACTCAAATGCTTAGAAACAAGAAATCTTTGTTCAGAAAAGGAAGGGAGAAACAGAAGATGCACATCAGTGAGAATAAAAAATGAAAGGGGGAGCAGGGAAAACTGATCTTTAGAAAAAAGATGCCAGCAGAGAGGAACTACACACATGGACATGAAAACAAGTTCCCATCGTGCACAGAGGGACAATCCAAGAGAAAGTTCATCTCTGCACCAGTGATGAGCTGTCTTGCAGGTGAATCAGGCATGCTGTGTGGGATGAGGGGTGGCTGAAGTTGAAGCCTCTGTCATTTCTGATACAACTCTGGCAAAGTGCTGGACAACCTTGTACAATCAATGAGTCACATATGTGGGCCCTGGGGAGCAGCCATGCCACACTGCAGCAATTGGACATGGAACTGAATGTTTCCATGTGTTACTGCCTTAAGCTACAGCAAGCTCAGCCTGATGTGGGAATAAAAGACTAAGTTTTCAATGAAAACAGAGTTGGGGATAAGAGCAACAACAAAGTCACCAAGACTAGAGTTAATAGAGTAGTAACAGAAATCAGCAGCTCTAAGATATCATCCCACATGGGTCATTTCTAACAGTTCATGAGCTAGGTGACTAAAGTTACCTTCCTTCCAATAGCAACTGACACCTCTAAATTGCCTGAAATGCAGTCTAAACCAGTTATGAAGACATCAGTCCCTGCACACGTGCCAACAAGGTAGCCTTTCTTTTTCGTAATTACTGGTTTTAAACACAACAGCAGATCCTATAGCTACAAGCAGGGTGTAAGTGGTCAGACTGCTCAAGCCTGCCTTAAAGCCTCAACACACATCTGTTCTACTACACAAACCGTGACCTCATCTCATTTCCCAGGAGAGCTGGAAATGCTGCCTAAGATCAGGGCATCCTGGAAGCACCCTCTGCTCCCAGGGCACATACACCGCTGGGGCACAGGTTCACTGAAGAATTGTGCATTGCTTCTGCCTTCCTCATCCCACCTACACCCTCATCCTCTGTTCTACAAACTAAAGCTCTTAATCTCACAGAAAAAAATGCCTGAACAAGGAAAACAATTGCACAGAGAAGGCAAGGAGGCAGACTAGTCAGCATAGCAGCAAAGGGCTGTCTCATTACTAAATACAGACTGCAACCAGTTCAAAGTTATTCCTCTTCTGTTGTGTGAAGAATTTTCTGTTAAAATTGGCACAACCTGAGTTTAGCCAGAATTAACACATCTGTAAAGGGCTTCTATACAGCACTGATTTTGATTGTGTTTTCACTCACGTATGAGCCAAATAGCTGCCCCAGAACTGCAGGCAATGCCTGTTCTCACTGTTCAGCCCATTCCTCCAGGAACAGGGTACAAACTCAGCTGCACATCACAGTGCCCTTGCGACATTTGGCTAATTTAAACACATCTGGGTAATTCATTAAGTGCTTAATAAGCTGCTAACACAAAAAGCATTATTCAGCAAGCCCATTTAACTTTGCAGAAGTTTTCTGGAGTAAGACTGAATTGTTTGGTCAACAGATCACTGCACACAAAAACTGCAGCTGAGTAATGTCTTTAGTGGTGTAGTCTTACGAACTGCATCACCAGTGAGGAAACATCCATGTTCATTTTGTTTGTTCAGCTAGCTTTAGAGCATTAGGGATAATAGAAAAGCTTCTTCTCGAGGACTCACTGCTCACAACACAGCAGCCAGAATAGCGAAAGATTTTGGGGTTGGTTTTTTTTCCCTTCATAAATACATGAAAGCACTACTTAAGGAGACTGAAAATCCTACAAGAAATATTAGGCTTGCATTACATTAGGTATGTTCAGAAGATACTCATATTTATGTTCATTTGTGCAAACCAAAGGACTTCATAAATATCAAGTGCTGAATCATTAAAATGTGCAAGACTGCACCAGTACAAGCTTCTGCTAACGGCAAGAGAACACCAGGCTGTGGGAAACCTCACTTTTCATCGACTACCTCCAGGCTGAGCACATGTTTTAGGCTACAGATGTGTGCAGCTCACAAAAAATTAAACTGATTATAGACACAGCAGAAAAAAGAACATGGGTTCCCTCCCACCAAACAGCCCTAAAACAGAAACAGCTGCTGCCAGGCAAGCCAGGCACAACACTAGTAACAAAATCTAACTGGTAAGTGGTTACCATCACTGTCCGGACCTGGACCATCCATCCCACCAATGCAGAGGCTATCAGAGAGCTGAAACAAGACTGCCTCTTCTCTTGTGGCAGGAAGACACCAGCACAACTCACCTGGGGAGGTTAAGGACTGGCAACTGTTTTGTCAACAGTCGTGTTTAATTTTTGGCTCAAATTTACTCTGAAACTGCAACAAGGAGAACAACTTGTCTGCTTCTGGGAGACTTGCATGGGGTTATGGTGGGCAAACAACCTAACTCACAGGAGCTGTATAAAACAGCTGCTTTTGCACTGGTATCGCAATGAGAATTTGTCACAGCAAAGCACGGATACACAGGCTCTTAGTCACAGTACAACAGTCAAAACAGATACTGTGGCAAAAAAACCATGCTTTTCCTCAAATACACCTTCCCTTCCCATTCTATCTGATGGGACACAGCCACCACCACCATTCTATCACTGGGACACTGCCACCACAAATATTTTATCTGCTACAACATGGCCACCACCAACATTCCATGTGCTGGGACACCACCCCCACCAACATTCTATCCTCTGGGACATCACAACCAACAACACCCTATTTCCTGGGAAAAATGCATGCCGCTTTACATCAACCAGGAGTGATACATAAGGACACCTCTCATTGCACTAAATGCTTAATGCCTGTTGTTAACACCTAGAATTCCACTGTCTCTTTCAGTTACTTAAGGATATGGATTAGGTGAATCTCCATCATTTTTGCTGTTTCAAGTGTACAGTCTTGACTGAAAGTCAACACAAAGTTGACTCCAGGGAGACCTCATGGGAGCTTTCCAATACTTAAAGCGGCCTTTGGAACAGGTTACCCAAAGAAGCTGCGAATGGCCAATCCCTAGCAGTGTTCAGGGCCAGGTTGGATGGGGCTTTAAGCAACCTGGTCTAGGTGGAAGGCGTCCCTGCAGATGGCAGGGGGATTGGACTAGAAGGTCCCTTCTAACCTAAAATATTCTATAATCATATGATAAAAAGCAAAAGGCCCAGGACATTTGCCCCGAAGACCACACAAAGCAGAAGAATCAGCCAATGGCTCACGAATCAGAAAAATTTATTTCAGGTCAATTTCACAGAGAGGGTGAGTGGCACGGAGCTCCCCTTGCCAATGGCCTCCAGCTCCTGAGGGAACACAGTGAGGTGCAGGCTGAGGCTGGCTGTACTTCCTTGTCCTTAGGTCAGTGGCTTCCTTGTTGTTGAAGGCTACAGAAATCTCTGGTTGAGCAGCTGCTGAGAGAAGGCAGGGAGCACACAGTGGTCTGGTCCTGTCCATCTGGGCCTGTGTCGGTCAAGTAGTTACATTTTCAACTGTGTCCTGTCACTGTCAATGTCCTCATTCTTCCCAACAGCATGTCAACAAGCTCGTCTGCCAGTCTCTCCCTCTGTGCGTCTGAGGACAGGAGTGCAGCATGGTCTGGTCCACTCCGGGTCATGGCTTGCGGCTGCAATTGGAAGGACAACAAGCAAAGGCAGCAGCCACTCTCGTTCACATGGGCCACCCCTGCCCGGGGCTCTGACTGATCACTTAACTTTGTATCAGCGTTCTTCCTAGAATGAAGCGAATCTCATGCTGTGTGACTGAGGACGGGAGTGCGCCATGGTCCAGCTCATTTGCTGTCTGGGCCTGCATCTGCTGTGTCCTTATAGAAGGTAGTGAATGTCTCTGAGTGGCTGAGGACCAGAGTGCGCTGTGGTCTCAACCGGTCCTGTTCCGCGCCTGTGGCTGTAAAAGGCAACATAACTGCAGAGCAGCCACCTCTTTTCACCATGCACAACCCCTGCCCGGGGTTCTGCCACACTTAACTTTGTGTCAGCGTCCTTCCTAGAAAGAAGTGAATCTCATGCTGTGTGACTGAGGATGGGAGCGCACCATGGGCTGGTCTATTCCCTGTCTGAGCCCATATCTGCAAAAGGTAGGGGAACAAACTACACTGCAGCCACACTGGTGTACCATGGGCAGCCCCTGCCCAGGGCTCTGCCAGGCTCCATGACTTAACTTTGTGCCCTTGCATGAGGTGGCAAATGTCCGGCTGCATGGCCAAGGTCAGGAGCGTGCCGTGTTCTGGTCCCCTCCTTGTGGGAGCTTCTGGCTCTGGAAGTCAAAGGAGGAGCAGCCACCATCTGCCGCACCTTGGGCATGTGGCCTCCCTGCCTGGGCCCTGCAGCCCAGCCCTCCCCTCCCTGCCTTCCTCCTGCCCTCTCGCCTCAGCCCTTGCTTACCCACCTGGTTGCCTCCAGGCTGCTCTGGCCCTTGTACCTTGTCACCACGCAGCCCTTTATATACCTGTCCTGGTGTATGGGCTATCAACCCCTGGACACCACAAAGATTCTATCTGCCTTGACATCACCACAACATTTGATCCTCTGGGACTCTGCCACTACCAACATTCTACCACCGCCTGCATGGTATTCCCCATGAGACACTTGTCCAGTTATGAATGCCCTTTAAACCCTCAACTTCTCTGGCTGTCTGTTCTATCAAAGATAGTCACCTTTCCTCCATGCCCCCCCCCCCCCCCCCCCAAAATGGGAATCTGACAAGGATATTTGGCAAACGTTGCCATTCAGTGCAGCTTCAGTATGCGTGTTTGTAGTCCGCCAGGAAGAGCTACACACACACCAGGCCCACTATCCAGTGATTTAGTCCTTCTGATTAACTAACAGGAAGCAGAGACAGCCACCTTCATATTCTCCTCCATGAGGAGGCCACACAAGCAGTGTCTTCTAAAGCTGGGAGTTAAATCTACATCCAGTTGCTGCCACACAGCCTTAGACACAACATCTTTCTTCCAGACTCTGAGATTTTGTTTTACTTTTCAAAGTTAGACTCACTGGGTCATTTAAGTTGGAAAAGACCCTTAAGATCATTGAGTCCAGCCACTAAAAACACTGTTAAACAACAGCTGAAGCTGACGCACTGTACAAGCTGATCAGAATACAAAAGTCCTTCAATATAAATGTTTGCAGTTTAACCTAACACTGGCTGATCCCCAGGCAGACCACCATGTACAAGTAAATTGGTTATCTCCTTAAGTAGGACTCAATACATTTAAATTCTAACACAGGTAATCCACTTGAATACAAAGCAGACGTCTTACACCCATTCAGAAACCCCACTCATTCCTTTCAAACTGGCCCAAAAGTTCACAAGTAAACACATACTGAAGCACATGACTTCTTAAAAGCTGAGTGCCAGAGGTAAAGCATAATACAACACAGATGATATAACCTTCCATCAGCATAGTCTTTCCCTGCATCAAGCATAATGCAAAAGTCAGCATGGAGTCCTCCTGAGAACATTTAGTAATTCAGCATGGGATGAAATCATTAACATTGCACAACCTTTGTATATGGGCCTTTAGAAAATCCTAAATTGTAAGTTTCATCACCCCTAAAATCACTAAAAATGGACGGTGATTGTTAAATAATTTCACCACTGCCAGCAGAAACATGCAGAAACTCAGCTGCACCAGGATGCATGCCTCTGTTCGCCTAAGAATTGCAAAACTCGAGCCCTGAGTACATTTTACCCTAGTAAACAAGGAGGGGAGGAAACCCAAAAACCACCAAACCACTAACTCTCTACTAAAGAGATAATTCAAACACCTACAGCATCTCCACATCGCTACAGAACTATCATCCTAACCATAGCAACAGATTTAAACATTTGAGGATCCATTTTGCTCTCTTCAGGCAGCATAAAACAGGTGAATGCTGCAGAAGTGTTAAAGTAAACCAGAAGCAGTCTTCCAAACTGGACAACTATAACTTAGGAGGAAAACAGGTTACCAATGACAGCGAGCACAGAACAAAATCATACCAAATTATTCAAAGGAAAAACAGCGTTGCATAATGGAGTTACTATTTACCAATCTGTCTATTAGAGACCTGAAGTAGTATTCTCTCCAATTCCATTAATATATTAAGCAACTGTGCTACCATGCCATAACTGCAAGTGACTTCAAAGTAGAGCTTATTCTCTGCAGGACTGAATTGTTCAAGAAGGAAGAATTTAATACACAAGACCATGTTAAAACTAACAACAATATACAAACATTTACTAATAAGCAAAACAAACAACACCTTGCTCGTTAACTACCAAAGGCTTCAAAGCCCTGAGGAGGTTTGTTTAGGTGGCAGACTTCAGATCAAAGCCTGGCTAGGGCTGGTATCTAAACTGGAACACAACCCAGAAGTTCAATCCAGGCCAGAATAAAATTCAAGGGCTTCCTTTCACTTACGCCTTCCAAGCAACACACATTCCACAAACAGAAAGCATCTAGGACATAGTATGTGACTGTTGAACACTCATTACAAAATTACAGTGACACTTCAAAAGCAACAAAATGCTCCATCAGTTGCTGAAATGAGTCCTTGAAGAACATTTTGACCTGTAAGACCCTTGTTTTCCTCCGCAATTACATTCATTCATAGGTCCTTGACATGAGAATTACTGTGAATTTACATCAGTGCAACTACAAAGTGAAAATCCCCTGAAAGACTTAAACTACAGAATGAAATACCCTATAGATAACATCCTGACAGCATGAGATCGTTGTTCAGTCTGACACACTTGTGATGGTACTAAAACAGACAAAAAACAAACTACTTTAAGTAACTGTGTCCAACTTGTCAAAAAAAAAAAAAAAAAAAAATCAAGTAAAGCACTTTTTACTTATATATTTGGCTGTATAAACACAAAAAGAAACCCCACCTTATAGCCTAACTTTCACATAATATACATTTGGGTTGAATTCTACTGTGTGAAATATGTACATAAACCCATGGATTGCAAGACAACTACAGAACTGAAGACCTGGGCTATGCAAACCTATGTTCTTTCTCTGCATCAACTCCCTCTCAAAATGAGCACACACTATGAAATTCACTTCTAGAAAATGCCTGTGCTCTCAAAGCATGATAAATGCATTTAGGTTTATCCAATTTTTCAACTGGTGATGCTTCCATAGGTCCCACAGAGTTTTACAGCTGACTTCTATCTTTCTGCTGTTTCCCATACAGAAACTTGTCTTGCAATTTAAAACCTGAACTCTCCTGCCCATTTCATGAGGCATTTTGCTGAAGCCCAAAGCAAGGGGAGCAACTAACCCCAAACTCATACTCCAGGTGTACACTGCAGCTTTGTACAAACGGACAGGCAATAGCCAGTGCTGTTTGCTTTTCTTAGATATCCAGGGGTGAGAAAAATCAGCTTCAAAAGAAACCAAAAAGAAAAATATTTTATAACTGGGCCTTGGGGGTGAGCAGGGGAAATCACTGTTCAGAGTCTGGAAAATGAGGGTGTTTGAGACCATCTTTGTCTCATAAATAGTCATTAATCATTTGCAGTCACTTAGCACAGGAGGTAGTGCAGTGGCAGCCCGGCTACTGTAAAAGTTTAATACCGAATTAGATTAGAAATGCTCAAGAATGTGTCATCATAGCTAAGTGCTACCTACTAATGGAAACTTTGGTTTGGTTTCAATATTAACAGGGCCTGACCTGGGCTTTTGGGAGCAAGATGACACAATCTTGCTAAGAAGGCACAGACACAACAAACATTGTTAACTACAGAAAGCCAGACAGCCATGAGCTTTTTACACCACTTTATCACTATACTGCTGTAAAATATTATCACCTATTTTGATCATATTTCTGTTATTAGAAACAAGACCACAGGGATGATGATCAGCCTGTAAGGCAGAATGCACAGGCATTTCCAGCTGCCTCCTATGAGCTGCCACACAGCACACGGGTACTGCCATTACTGGCACATGATGTGCCAGAAATACAGACACAAACATCCTCATCTGTATGCACAGAGCTAAAAGAGCAGGATTCAGATGGTTTTACAAGAATATTCATAATCCTCCTCCCGCCGCCCCCTACTCAGCAGCTCAGTCAGAGCCAACTAGTTATAATTATCACCATAATTATTATTTTAATAAGAACCAGTGACTTATCAAAATATTGCACTGAAGACTTGCACATCTTTTCTTCTAAGACTGCCAAAAAGCTAGTTCATTGCTGAGGTACTGCTCCATGTATGCTGCTAGCAGACAGCACCTCCAAGTTGCTATTTATGCAATTGAGTGACTAAACTCAATTCAAGTGAATGCCAAAGCATAAGCAATTTGAGGCACAGTAGCTGTGCAAAGCATTATTATTCTCCTGGTGCATACACACTAACAGCTTTGTTTACTACATTTACTCCTCTTCTGCTTGTTTGCTTGGGTTTTACATACTTTAGGCCAAGTTGCTGAACTTCCATGCCTTAAGGTAGCCACCTGAATCTGTATTTACATATTTAAACATCTGTGTCAGGCACAAAGTTTTAAGTGCATAAGCAAGCCTGTAGGCATCCAAGTCAATATAATTAGGTGCCTAAATTTATCTCCAGCTACCCAAATGTGTACCTCTGTAGGCAACAAGCTGCTATTTTTCATGAGTGTATTTTTTTTTCCTACCAGGTACTATTAGCTTGAAAACAGATTATTTTTTCTTCACATGCTGGCTCAAGATGTCCCCAGTCCCCTCTGGTAACACTCCGTTTCTACACAGAAGTCCAATTGAAATATTCATAACCAGTAGATGTCCCTCCTTTAGCCAGGTACAGCTCCAGGTACACTGCCTGACTGAGGAAAACATTCTTCAGTTACTCTGATAACTGATGCCCCTGGCAGCTGTGAGACTCGTCTTCAAGACTGACCAGTCATCCTCCTGCCAAGTTTACAGAACAACCCATGACAAGGACCCTAGTCACCACTATGCCTTGTGGCTGTATATTTCTGAAGAACCCAAAATTTGCCATGGAAATGTAATTTTTCGGGTTTGTCTGTTCATCTCCCCCAAAAGGGTCAATGGGATGAATATAGTTTCAGGGAATTTGCTTCATTTTAGTCAATACATACATGACTTCTATCGCTTTTTCTCCCAAAAGATATTTAAACTGCACCTGAATCAACTGCTCCTGAATCAAAAAGTTCCATTATAAAAAACAAAGCCAACTACAAACAGGCTGAGTTTCAAGAACAGAAGACCACTGAAATTCAGAGAGCATGGAATCCAAAATTCGCCATTAAGAAGGCAGCGAATAGCACCAACTCAAAGAAAAATGCTCAGACTCCACCAACATAACTGTAAGAGTACATCTGAAGGACAAGCAAAAGCTGCAGTATGAAGTAAAAATGAGTGCCCATGACTCATTCAACCAAATCCAAGTTAAAGTTTGCAGTGCCGTTCAGCTTTGTAAAATTGTTTTAAATAAGCATCCCACTTACTCTCTAATAATAGAACAGCAACAGAACAGTAGCTTGAAAACAAAATATGTGGGAAGTATTCAAGATATGACCTCAGAGTCAACCA